TAACTATATTTGGCCAGCCCTTGAACCCAGGGAGCCAGGGTTGACAAGAAAAGTTTTCGAAAATAGGTTTTCTACTACGGGACAGACAGGAAACACTCATGAATCTTAATGCATGAATGTGAGGATGGTGCCAGGAGGAAAGATTAGTTGGGCACCGGAGGATTTTTTTTTAGGTCAAGCCAAACCTGTACAAAAAAAGACTGTTTGCATTTGAACTAAAATGCAGATTCCTGATGTGTAACATTACAGAGGTAGAGAACAACTTTGAATGATTCTGGAGGGAAACCCATCCATAGACTGTCCAAAAATTTCACCATGGGATACGTTGTGATCAAAGTCCTGTTCCTTTTTACACATGTACTACTGGTATCTTTACACACATACAAAATGCACATGTGTAAACATGATAGCTCCATAGATGAAATTGCTGTTTCTTATGCTTATTATTGTCTTGAAAAATATATTAAGTTTCTGTCATGTTTGCTAAATGATGGTGGGGAAAGGAGAAAGAGTGTTTCCATTCCTTTTTTGCTGCAAAGGTGTGTGTTTGTTCTTGTTATCAAGATATTTTATATATTTTCCATTACATGAGCCATCCTGAGAATTTTGCAGAATTAGGGAACACATTAAAAAAAGCAGAAGAGATACCGCTGTACTTATGATTTCCTTTGCCTGTTTTCCAGACTTAATAAGAAAAGTCTTCTGAGAACAGGGTGTGCGACTTAGCCCATTTGAGTGATTTATCAACTCTGCTTTTTTACTGTCTGGGCAGGTTTTAATGGCCACCCTGCACCCCTGTTCACATCTATTTCTAAAGAGACTCACCTTGGTGGCTCCGGAGCCTGATAGGCTGTTGGTGTTACTATTCTGAAAACCAGGAAGGTAGTTGAAACTGACCCTTTGATCGTCCATTCGTCTGCTCTGTGTATGAGCCAGCATTTCCATGAAGTTGTCCATCTCGGGAGGTGGGCTTGGGCTGTCCTCTGCAGTAGCTATCAATGGAGGGCACATTGAATGACAGCAAGAGCAGCATTCTTTTTTTCATTTTTTTTAGATATCACTATTCTGCAGTATGTCAAACATTGCCATTTGTCCATTTAGCATCTTTGCTTCTTAACATCTGATGGATGTGGGAATTCCTAGCTAATTTGGGCTCATTTTAAAACCACAATGCAGGGTTAAATGAAGATTACCAGGAAAATAATAATCATGTCTCAGAAGAAGACAATGGTAACCTACTTCTGGATTAAGGATCTAAGGGAGACGGGCGGTTCAAAAATGTGAAAAATAATACATAAAAAATGAAAGGTTTAGCAAGCAAGCAAACAAATAAAACACCCCACATGGCACATATCCATATAGTCACTGAAAGCCAATGAATCTTTATTTATTGGATGAAATGCCCAGGCAATGTTGGAAATGGTTTCCCTTGACAAACAGGGCCAGTGGTTAGAGGATCTCAATTGCACTCAAGAAAAGGGTTCAGAATAAATGGGCTATCAGAATGTTGACCTGGAGTGGAAGAAGACTTTCTCATAATACTTTACCTGAGTTTTGTGAGAATTTAGCCTGCAAGAAAACTTTCCTGTCCCAAAATGTCTGTTTTGTAAATACTAAAAGTAGGCCCACCAGAAGATGTGGACCTCTCTTTAGCAGTAGACAGGAAACAAAGTTTTGCTTGGTCTTGGGAAGATGCAGTCACTGCACTAGTAACTCCTGGGTTTACTAAATCTTATTTAGCTTAGAGCAGGGGTCCCCAACCCCTGGTCCATGGACCGGTACCGGGCCGCAGCATGCCAGCAACCGGGCCGCACAAACAAGCAAAGCCCCATCCATGGGATGCAGGCAGCACACAAAACCACACACTCTCCAGTCCATGGAAAAACCTTTCTGAACCGGTCCCTGGTGCCCAAAAGGTTGGGGACCTCTGGCTTAGATAACTCACTCTTTTCGGGATCTGAGCCACTCTTGCTATGTACAATTTGAATGTTACAGCGTTGCTCATCCATACGTCCTCCCTGCACATGAGTCAGCAGATTGAAGAAGCCTTCTTGTTCCGGTGAGCCTGACTGTAACAGAAAAATAAGAACTATTATCAGTTGGTTCCAACTTTACCTATCTTAATTTCACAAAAATCTTTCCACTGGCTAGTCTTTGTCATCAACCTCTGGAGCAAACCTACGTAGCTTTCTAACATTGCTCACTTGAAGGATTCAGCTAGGAATACAGAATCATACATTTACTGACTTAACCTTTTGATATGATATTGAATGACAAAGGCCATTAATAAGAGTTTTGTGATCATCTGTGTATTCTTCCTTTGCCTTTTCAAACTTAGTGAATCAGGAGTGATGATGACTTCTAAAGTACTAAAATACTACGCCATCTAGGATAGATGTCTGGATGGAAAAATCACTACCATTTATTCAGAAGGAATCTGGTAGCACCTTTTCTGTCTTAACAACTTTTACTAAAAGGTATGAGTTTTTTGTGAGCTTTGGACTTTGCATATATGCACACTACTGTAGTGCATTTGGGTATTCAAAGCACATGCTATAGACCACTGGCCTCATAAATGTGATTAGATCACAACTCTCAATAACCTGATCAGCGGGGCTAATAGTGAGCAGAACTTTTAGTACAGCACACAGCAACATCTAGATGGCTGCAAGCTCTCTACTGCTGGCAGAAACCCTTGCCATACCTTTGCAAGTGTGGCAAATCTCATGATTCCTATGATACAAATTAAGGTTGCTTGTCTGCAAAAGGTGAGAAACTGGATCGCTCTTCTACTTTATTATGTTCCTTATGTTAATAATGTATTAAGTACCGTAAACCTTTGACTGAATAACTCTCCATTCAGCAGACTTTGGATGCAATGGACAAACTTTCCATCAGAATACTTTCCTGAGTAACAATCAGGTCAGATGCATCCGAAGTAGTTGGGGTGGGCGCGGTTTTGGCATGACGCATTCGGCCCGCGGGCCGGCACTTTGACATCCCTGGTATAGTATTGCAAGTGCATATTTTACATAATTTCCTTAATAACTTCATTACTGAAATTATGCAGATTGCATAGATGACATACTTTCTGATTCTACTGACATTTGGAAGTAAAACACAAGCCCTTCCCCCACATGGTCCTTATATGGAGGTTTTACCCAAAAGTAGATTATAGATGATGACTCATCTCTTAATCATATCCCTTTGCAAAATGTAGCATCAAAAAAAAGGCTCACAGCTCTTTACAAAACACAGCATCAGGGAAAACTAAGAGTTCACTTTTAAAACCTTAGATTCAAAGAAGCAAAAAAAAAAAAAAAAGCAAAGGGTGTTTTCATTTGCTCATTAAGTGAGCTTTAAGCTTTATGTTCGTTGTTCAATGTCTGGAAGGAAATGCCAAAGCAAAATAAACTGGGATCAACTTAATGCTATTATCCACTGGACAATAACTAAAGCAGATGGAGCGTGATCTATGAAGGAAGGGGTCTTTTATATAAGGCATTGAGCTGCCAGTGGGAGGAGGACGAGCTTAGAATGAATGAATGATCTTCTGAAAAATGGCAAAAGATCCTACTTGACTGCCCTTTTGACTTAAAACAGCTGGGGAGCAAATGGGAGACACACAGGGCAGGAGACTTTGTCAAAACCAGAGTATAACAAACATGTCTGAAAATACTGGAGCAAGGGAAGTAGATACACTGCCTTTAGAACAGAAATATAGAATACTTTCTTTTGGAATCAATAATGTTTCTATAATATTCGTTTTCAAAATGGTATATACCGTATTTATCGGCGTATAACACGCACTTTTCCCCCCTGAAAATAGGGGGCAAATGATGTGTGCGTGTTATACGCCGATATAAGCTCTCCGCCGCCCGGCCCCACCTCAGCCCGGGCAGCCGCGGCCCTTCCCCGTCCTCCTGCTGCCGCTGCCGCCAAGCTCTCCGCCACCCGGCCCCACCTCGGCCCCTGGCAGCCGCGCCCCTTCCCCATCCTCCTGCTGCCGCTGCCGCCGAGCTCTCCGCCGCCCGGCCCCACCTCGGCCTGGGCAGC